TCCAGTGCCATGCTCAGGGGTGGCTCAGCAGGTAAAGACTAGATATCTTCGGCCACGCCTTTCAGCCTGAGTGGAGGAGAGAACTGCCTCTCTGCCTTTTGTCCTCTGACCCCACATTCATGCTGTGGGGGAAGCACATGTGCACGCTTGCACTCATGCGGGTGCACACACACGAAATAAGAATATGATCAAATCTTTGAGGAAGAACCTTTCTGGAGTTGGTAGTCTTTCCAATCCCCTGTGCTTATTGTATTTAGTCCTTTAATTGGGGTTATGAATGAGAAAGGCAAAAGTTTCCCAACTAGGTAATTGCATACATACTGAAACTTCGTTGGTTCTTCAGACGTTAGGTTCTAATGATTGTTTTTGCCTCGTTTGTTTTCTTCTGGCCCCTTTGAAACACATTTTGTTCCTTCTTTATGAGACGCTGTGGAGAAAAAGTGGTCCTATGAACTCTGTTGTTATAGATGTTCTTACTGTAGTCATATCTGCTGTGAGATAGTGTCTTCTATGTAGAACACGGAAGATACACCCCCAAAATCTCAGCAGTATGGTTGTCTGAACAAGACTTAATAAATGGACACTACCAAATGAATTGCCAACACGAAAGGAGGAGTTCTCACAGGACTTTTTTCTAGAAGAATAAAAATTACAAGCAATTGAAGACTATGCGGAGAAGAAGAATTGGTTCTTTCCGGGAACCAGCCTGTAGATTAGCTGATCCAGAGAGGTAGCCCTAAACACTTGAGAATGCTGAGTGACTTCAGAAGATTTCTTTATACATCTACACACACATAACTGAAAGATAAAAGGCCATGGATTTGAGGAATTGGGGTGCATGTGAGGGGGAAGAGGAGAAGAGGAAGAATGACATAAATACTTGTATATGAAATTCTCAATAAATAATTTTAAAAGGAAAGATAAATGTTCAAAAGAAAAAGGTCAAATTAATACTACTTTTATTCCTCAGTATTCTAGTAGGGTCAGGAACAGTCCTTTGCCTCTGGATCCTTTTTCTCTCACCCAGAACTTATACTTCAATTAACATTGGCAGGCTGAAAAATCCTGTAAGCATCTCTAAAGTCTGGCAAAGATGTGTCTCCAGCGTCAGTTCCCAAACTGTTCGCAGTGTTTCTCTGGCATAATGAAGCCTTTGGCCATCACTGCTACTTTGAAAATCAAAGCTTTTTGGTCTCTAATGGAATGTTTATAAAAATGCACCAATTTGAAATTTGCTCAGGAAAAGGAAGTAATGTTAAATGATACTTAGAAATCCCTCTTGCCTTGGCATTGCTTCATTTAATGTTATGTACTCTGGAAATATCGGGAATTAGTAGGAATAAAAGAGTATTAAAACCAAAAGATAAATAAACCCTTGTGTCTGTTGTCTTATTTTGTGGAAGTATGCCATTGTATGTGCTGCTTCATTGTTCTTTCTATGTGATAGCTTACCTTTTGCCAAATTCAGTAAAAGTGTGCTGGAATCACTAAACTTTCCTGACCCCTGTGTCACACACTCATCTCGCCTGTGTGTTTTACTCATGTGGAAAGGAACACTCTCTGGATGCGGCTGTAAGAATGTTGAGCCTATAATTAAAAAGCTGTGCTGCATAAAGTCCGAAATAAAAGGCAACATGCCACTCCATTGCTTTCCGTCTTGCAATAAAAAAGAAAGTCACACGTGAAATATATTTAGTGTGATAATATGGTGACTATTTTAATGTTTACACATAAAAGGACTGAGGATTTTGCTTAATTCATCCTTTGGTGTTAGCTCTACCTTAATGAACTAATGTAGCTTAAAGTAGGAGGCTGTTATTTTTTGAGATGTTAACAGAGGACTGCTGTTTACCAGGGATTCTTCCAAGAGTCTAGCAGTAAATGTAGACCAAGAGGTTCCCTTGTCCCCCTGGCACATCGGAGCCAAAAGACAAATCAGTTCCCGTGGTTTTGACTATACATTTCTGTTTGTTAGCCCATTAGCATGGTTAGAAAATTCCCATCACTCAGTATTAAGTTTGTGAATTGTTAAAATGGAACTTTGGGGTTCTGAAATCTTTGACCTTTTAGAAAACAACCTAATTTTTTCAGTGAGTTGTGCTTTGCCTGTCCTCTTTTCTTTTTGTTTCCTTTTCTTTTTCTTTTTTTTTCTTTCTTTTTTTTTTTTTTTTTTGGAGAGTGGGAGGGCTTCTTGTGAGTCTTTTCAAACTTTTTATTTACTTTTGTCTTTCACGTCACGTATCCCAGCCCCACCATCTCCTGTCCCCTTGCATCCACCCTCTGCCCCTTCAAACCCCTCCCCAATAAAATAAAATTTAAGAGAAAAATGGAGGTGGAGAGAAAGGGAAAATCTCATGGAAGCTGCAGTAAGTCACACAGTAAACCCCTTTATCCACACATCTTTACATGCAGGCCTTCATGGCAAAGAGTCATTGGTCTGGTTTGAAGCCCCTCATCTATGCCATAGACTCTGGTTCCTCCCTGGCACTCTTCCTGGACATCAACTCATAGCCCTGTAGTGGGCCTGGGCAGTTGTAGGGTTGGTCAGCCGCCAGCTCTCCCCTGTCCTCACCACCATGGTGAGCTCTCCAGCATTGCCCTGGCTAGTTCATCCCTTGCAGCAGTGAGCGAGTTCTCCCACTGTCACATGCCTGTCCTTAATACACGTTCAGATGGGCACTTCGGCTTTTCCTCTCCAAAATACAATACAAAAAATATGAGTAAGAATATCACTGACTTCATCTCAGAACCTTTGTACTTCTTTTAGAAATGTAACTAAGTGGGGGTGGGGAGATGACTCAGTGAGTGAGAACTCTGAGTGTGGATTCCCGGCACACATCACAAGCTGTGCATGCGCACATACACAGCTGTTGGAAGCGGTACAAGAGGACCACTGGAGCTTGTTGACCAGTCTAGCGAGAATATGGCATGTTCTAGGTTTAGTGAGAGGCCCTGTCAGCCAGTATGGCAGAAAGGGAAAGGGAACGCTCAGCACATGCACATATACCTGCCTGTACCGCACACGCATCCATTTGGGAGCATTCCTTACTTGTCACTAGTTCCCAGTGGCATCCTTTGGTAGCATCGGATGTGCTTTCTAGTGGCATTATTTGATTTTAAATCATTTGGTCATTTTTATGTGAGGATATCTGTGTTACAAAGTCTACTTAAAAGTCAATCTCTATGAGTAAATGTAAGGCTGTCACTTTTGCTCTTTGCATTAAATAAACATGCTACACAGTTTTTCCATTTAAAAACATGCAGGTTGATTATGCCAGAATAGTTTTAATCAGGAACTCACAACATGTCTGCAGAATGTACTCCAAAGTCTCTCTAAAGCTCTCTTGCAGATCTACAGCTCTGCCCTGGACTGTATTTAGAAGCCAAAATATTATTTTAACAAAGAAAATCTTCTGTTGTTGCTTAACCAAATGCTCATAGTAGCAAACTTTGTCTTAAGACAGAGAGGTCTGCTCCTTTAGTTTTTGTTTTTATTACGTCTCTTGCTTTTGTCTTGCATTTTAGAAGTTGAAGGCAGTGTGCCCTGGGAGTTGAGTTAATTGCAGTGAGCAGATCAATATTCAGCAATCGCATCTTTTAAAGCCCTTTCTATCCTGAGATGTGATGATTCTATATTTACCTTTGCTCTTGCTCTTTTCTGTCAGTAGCGAGAGAACAGAGATGTCAGGGCTGTGCTGGAGAGAAGCTGAGCCAGGGGTTAGGAGATAGGTGGCAGGCTGTGTAGAATGGGTGGCTGGCTACAAGGTACAATTGCTCTTGCTCCTTGTGCTTTTTCATACGTTTTAGTGCAGATCCATTTCCTTTGTTGTAATTAGTTTTAAACTAGGAAGAAGCGGGTGGGTGGGGGAAGACAGCCATTTTTAGAAGATACCTTCTCAAATACCTTCTAACAGACAGCTCCCAGATTCTTGCAGGTGGGTTAAACGGAAGTTAATCAGCTAAAGCTCTGAAGAAGCTGAAAGAACTTACGGGACTTTTAATGGTCTCGTGTGCAGGTAGTTCCATGTAAGTTCTTCCCATCATGAGATAGAATTAATCTCTGCATTTCGTGTGTTTTTTAACTGGAGTAGTCTGTGCCTCCAGCCCCAGATGTACCCCAACCTGTACTAGCTGCCAAAATTGTTTTCTCAACTGAACCCAGTACCCATTCTTGACGGAATAATGGAAAATAGATAAAACTGGGTAAAGAGTGAATTTTTGATGTTCTTTATAGTCATTCTCAAATATTCCCTTTCAGAAAGTATAAAAATGTTTTTATGCGTAGTATATTGGAACCACAAGTACTGACTTTGTATTTCAAAGTTGGAAGAAATGAGATTGATGTCCTGTACAGTTGTAAAATGCCGAAAATAAGGAGAGCTGAAATGAATTAAAGCCTAGTGTTGAGAAAGGGCAGGAAAAAGCTTCATATCAACAGTGACTGTAATTGAAAGGGTCCAAATAAGTATTTAAAACCTCCCCTCCTGAGACATCTAGGATTTCTGAATTTCAAATTGACATTTTATGTTTGACAAGGTGACATTGTATAAGAAATGTATTGTAAAACACTGCTGTACGATAGGAAAATGATTGAATGTAAATATTTCAAGATGTGGACCACTGTTCAAATGTTATCATAAATCTTTGCCATTGTTTTAGGGGATAACTCTTCATGCATATGTGAGCTGGATTGATAGCTCTTGGAAAGGAAATCATCAGCGGGTTTCTGCCTTTGTCTCAAATACTAGTCTGACTTCACCACTAAAATATCATATTAGACTTCTGTTCTGTGCTTGATACTGCGCATTATGTAAGGGCAATCACTTTTTGGAGGTGTTCCACTGGCATTGCTTTTGTCCTGTTCAGTTCTGAATACATGATGGCTACCCTGTTACATGATTGGAACTCTCACTGTTATGTGGGCTGGGACAGTTTGTATTTAAATTTTGCATTGAAAACAACCCGAGCTATGTCATTAACCATCCTTCTATTCTTTTCAGGTTTGGAAGGTTTACAGTTGCTGCTCTTCAGTCCAAAGTAGAACAGTATGAACGAGAAACCAATCGCCTCAAGAAAGCTCTAGAACGAAGTGATAAATATATAGAGGAACTAGAGTCTCAAGTAGCACAATTAAAACATTCAGGTGAAGTCAAGGAAGATATGGATGCCCTTTGTCAGAGGGCACCCTCTGCAGATGGCAAGGGGCCCAAAGGTAGCGAGGAGGTTGTGGCAGCAAAGAATCAGGGTGACAGTGCCAGAAAGCAGGCTGGCACAGCCACCTCCACCTCAGCTTCTCACCTAACAACATCTACCTGCAGACTTGCTGACACCAGTTCTGCCAGGCAGGAAAGCACCAGCAAGACTGAACCAAACTGTCCCAAGAACAAAGACAGATACCCCAAGCCCACGGAGATGCTGCTGGCTATGCGAGAGACACCGATGGATGCTTATTTGGAAGGAGAGTGGGGCAGTAAGCCAAGTGACTGTGCACCCTACAAAGAGGAAGAGCTTTATGATCTCCAGGCTCCTTGCACTCCTTTGTCCCTTAGCTGCCTTCAGCTAAATACTCCAGAAAACAGAGAGAACTCTGTAATCAAGGCAGGGAGTTCCAAAAAGCATACAAACCATCTGAGAAAACTGGTATTTGATGATTTTTGTGACTCTCCAAATGCCTGTAATAACAACTCTTCCGAGGATGATGTAAGTAAAAGTGAAAATGAAAAGAAGTCAGACCGTTTTGTTTCCCCAAAGACAGGATTTTGGGATTGTTGCTCTACAAGCTATGCCCAGAGCTTGGAGTTTGACAGCTCGGAGCGGAACACAATAGCAAATTCTGTTGGGGAAATCCCTTCAAAATTGAGTGAGAGGTCAGGATCATGCATGTCCAAGAGACTAAATTGTATTCGCTCTCTCGAAATGAACCGGACAAGAACATCCAGTGAAGCTTCCATGGATGCTGCTTATCTGGACAAAATCTCCGAGCTGGATTCCATGATGTCAGAGTCTGACAACAGCAAGAGCCCTTGTAGTAACGGTTTCAAATCAGTGGAGCTGGAGGGCTCCTCAAAGTCACCTCGAGGCAGTGAGTTTCTTGAGGAACCTGACAAGTTGGAAGAAGGACCTAAACTGAATCTTTCCAAAAATGCTCTCAGTACTGATCAGTTAGAAAATGGCGGTGAGTGGAAACCCTCTTCTTTCTTTCTCCTCTCTCCATCTGACCAGGAGATGAGTGAAGATTTTTCTCTGCACCCCTCTTCTAATTCGGGAGCTGGTGAAATTAAACCCCAGAGCTGCTTGTTTCAGACAGAGTTCTCCCAGGGTGTCCTGTTAAGTGGCTCCCATGGACTGTTTGAAGAACAGAGGTTTGGCTCCTCTTTATTCAAGATGTCTTCGGAGATGCAGAGCCTTCACAGCCACCTTCAGTCTCCGTGGTCTACTTCCTTTGTGCCTGAAAAGAGGAGCAAGAATGCGAATCAGTCAACAAAGCGCAAGATACAGAGCAGCCTTTCCAACGCCAGCCCATCCAAGGCAACGAAAAGCTGACTCCCCAGAGAGATGCCCTGTGGCTTTGTCCTGAAAGGGGTGTGGTCGCTTTCAAGGTTACTGTAGTCACTTCATGGAGGTTCTATAAATCATGAACTGATAATCTTCAGTAAAGTGTCAAGTCAGAGAGGTGGGTTTACCTCTTTACGGGGTGCTTCATCTTGAAGAAACTTTGGTCTTTTAGTCGGTTATCTGTCTTAGCAGAGAGGTTGGGGGCAAGGGTTTCATTTGTCTCTGTATTGTTCATTATTTTGTTTTAAATGAATGTTTATCTGGATGGTTATATGTTTTCTCATATCTTATTTAACCGTTAGATACGGTGGCCTGTTAACTGTCTTCAGAACTTGTGTTTCTTAGAAGTTTTAGTGTTTTCTGTACTACTCTTTAAAGCTATTCCTAGAGTGAAATGGTTTTGTATGTCCTTTTTTATTTATGTTTAGTGATGGCCTAATTATTCTGCAAGACCATGCCGGAGACATGGCTCTCCACCTGTAAAGTATTTGCTGACCTTTTCAGATTTTACATAGCGGTTTGCCACCTGTTTCATTGTGTTCCGTCCATGTTGTCTGTGTCTGTGCGCATGTGTGCGTGCATTGTGTGCGTATGTGCGCAAAAATGCTCTGGAGTATGAAAGAACATTTTTTGTATTCTTTTCAGGTTGTTTATATTTACTCATCTTTGAGCGTGTCTATGTGTGTGTGTAAAGTTAGGAATCGTTATGTTTGGAAAGAAGGCACTGATCAGTTAGGTTGGGAGGAATTTGAACATCCTAGCTTCATTTTCCAGATGTGTAGGTAGACAAACAGTTTGTTAGGTTTTTGATCTGTTGTGTCACAGGGGAGCCTTTTATGTGATAAAGTTCTTGTTTGCATGTTACTCTCACTGTGGGAACTGTAAGCATGGGAGCCTTTGTGCTTGCTCCGTTCTCCATCCAGAGGAAAAAAGTTCCTATTGGTTAATAGACTATCCACTATGTAGGACAATTGTTCTTCTTTGTGGAAAGTAACTAGTGGGAGCGGGAATATCTGAGAGCTGAGCACAACCTTTAGTTTAGGCTTTAAAAGTACGTTATTTTAAACATGTTTGTTATGCCCATATAGGCTGTAAAACTAAGTCTGTATGCTAATAACTTATCTAATGTGCACTGAACATTTTACATGTATTGTCTTACCTTAACACTGCATGATTTTTTATGTGAATTGAATAAAGGATGCCATATGCACTGTATGTCTTTGATGTCATCTCTGATAGTAGATTAGTCTCTAAAGACCTAGAATACTATTTTCAATTCATTTTAAAACATAGCAGTTGACCCAACTATGGACCTAAGATGGATGTGCTTGATTGTGTTTATAGTGCAGAGGCTGCAGCCTAGGACATTGTGGGTACCAGACCAGTGCAGCTCTGAGCTGCAGCCTAGGACATTGTGGATACCAGACCAGCACTGCAGCCTTACCTGTACCTGGTTTTGAAAGGTCTGTGAGCAAAAAGAGAAACAGAAAAAAAGCAACAAAACAAAACAAGAGTTTTGTAATGTTCCCACATTTTTAATTTAAAAAAAAGTGCCTGCATCACAAGAAAGTAATCTGAAATTCCAAATGTGTTTTTAAATAAAGGCTTATTAGAACGCAGCTGCACTGTCTGTGCAACTCCTGATAGGAGAGTGGAGTACTTGCAGCAGTGACTGTGCCTCGAGAAGCCTAAAATATGGACTGTCTGCCCTTTTCCTCAAGAATTTGCTGACCCTTGTTATAATAGACTCTGAGGATTCAATGAAACCATAAGGAACACAACAAATCACTTTTATGATGTAGAGAATCATGGTCTCCACTCTCAGAAGGAACAATAACCAAGGGGGAGAAAAGCTAACAGGGTAGTATTTGTTTTATCATACATATTTTCCAATAATTCACTTCTTTGCCATGGTAAAACTAATGGGTATTTTCAGAGCTAGTGACAGTTTAAATATCTTTGATGATACAGTTAGCTCTACGTTTAGAGTTCATGTAGAAATTACGGGTTCTTTTTTTTGTCATGGTTAAATGTAAGAGTGCTGTAGCCTGAATGTCCCCCAAATTATATATATTGAAATCTAACCCCCAAGGTAATGATATTAAGAACTAGGACTATTGGAAAGTGAATATGCCATAAAGGAGTGGTGTTAATGGCTTTGCAAACAAAATGGAAGATACTTGCTTGTCTGTTCTAGACATAGCTAGTAGCCACCATTTTTGCAATAAAGAACAGGCCCATATCAAACACTCTGATGCCTTGATTCTAAACTTCCTAGCCTACAAAACTGCAAGAAATTTCTAATGTTTTCTATAATCAGCCCAAATGGGCCAAGACAAAAAAAAAGTAACCTCACACATTCCATAATCAAGAATGTCTCTATTTTTAATCAATTTGCATACCATCATTATTCCTGACATGGAAGTTGAAATTTGTAGCCTTAGTTTGCCAATGACTAGCCTGGGTTAGTGCATCCTTCTTGGACAAGAATGTTTGTTAGCTGCTTACCTTCAAAAGCATCCTTCCATCCTCCATAAAACAATATTTATTATATTTATTGCATTAATGTATAATAAAACCACTCTTCCTCAGCTAAAGAAGATAGATAATTATATAAAATTGGACTTCAATCACATTTTTATCTCTCTTATTCTCTATCTGATTTCATAACAGGCAGCTTCACAAATTTTCAAGTGTGCGTACTATGTCCCCTCTGAAGGAAACACCATTGAAAGGTTGTTGTGACTTAATGAAGTTCTTTTCTGGCGTGCCCTGTAGCCTGGCCTGTGTTCCATTCCTAGCACTGCATACAATCCTATGTGCGGATCACACCGTTGATCCCAGCAGCTGGAACGTAAAACTAGGCCACAGTTCACTAGCAGGCAGGAGAGATGGCTTGAGATGAAGAACGCTACAGAAGATCTCAGTTCCCTTCCCAGCACCCAGGCAACTCAGGGGACCACATAGCCTCTTCTGGCCTCGGAGGACACCAGGTTTGCATGTGGTGCACAAACGCTGGCAAAACAACCACACACATAAAAGTATTCTTTTTTATTTTTAGTTCAAAGTCATCCTCAATTTACATATCAAGTTAAAGGCAAGCCTATGATACAGGAGACTCAAAAAAAAAAACCTAAAATACTTGAAGCCAAATATTAATATTTTTCTAGCCTCCATTTCATATACCACTTCCAAAGCTTCAAAAATTCCAATTTGTGGAAGACCAAACAGAGTTAGTGATCACACCGATAGAATGGTATGGAACCTTAATTTGGAGCTGGATGTCCAGCTGTAGAGGAGATTATCTTCCTTGTCCACATTTGCATAAAAATGGGGGGAGTGTGTTTGAAATTTCACAAAGATTCTTTTTAAAGTGCCTCGGGAGTATTTGTGAGTTTCTAAGTAACATTCAATTCTGCCTGTATTCCTGAAAGCAGCATGTGTCCACCACTGTTCAATTTGAAGGTGGAAGTTAGGGTGTCTGGGCACAGTTGTTTTAGCACACAGTGCTTTCAAGGGTTCACATTAACTGACATCTGTATGAACTGAACCTTCCTTCCCTATGGGCTTGCTTAAGCATTCTGTGATGGAAAAAGATAACCCTTGTCCAGATACACTTGACACGAACAGTTCATGTTTTTTATAGGAACTGCTTTTTATTGTTAATCTCTCCAAAAAGCTGTGTCTATCTACAGAACTCTCCAAACAAGATGTTAGAGGCTTCTTGTTAAGACATTCTAGTCCTTGTATTTAAAAATCTACATCCATTTAAAAGCTAAAAGTTTTACTGAATTAGCACACACACACACACCACACTGAAAGTAGACTAGGCTTCACAGCCCGTTGGTTTCTAATCTGCTTTGCTTTCTGTTGGTTGACCTGAAGCAAAGGCACCATCGAATAAGGGAAAACCTTGGTCTTGGGCTGTGTGATGTTTCAGGGCAGTATTGTTTCTGAAGACATGATGATTTCTAGTTATTAAAAATGTAACACATACAGCAGATTTTTCTCCCTCATTCTGTACCTGTGGATGGTGTGTGTGGAGAGTATCCATTTGAAATGAACGGTTCATAGTGTGCAGACTGTTAGACTAGAAGCTTCCCAAAGCCTCATAGAGGTCTTCCATTCCTGTCTGTGGGAGTCCTACAAAGCAGCCCTGGCCTATCACTGTGTAATCCGATCCCCTTAATAATTCTTGGCAGAGAGAAAACCTTTTAAGCAATGATCTCAGAGTGCAGAGTGAACATTTATTGCCTAATTCTCGGAACCCTGCTCACAGCAAGGAAGCATCTATTAAGGTGCAGATTTAAGAATCCATCTGGAGCATAGCTAGGGTGAGCCCAGTTTGGCGTGGCTGTTGGCAGTCTAGAACACCTTGAGTCGCAGTACCTCTTTTTCAGATAAGGTTTTTTTGTGTGATGTAATAGAGGAGCAGGCTCTCTATTAAAGTCTCTACTGAAGGTTGGTTTGGCTTAAACTTTTGTGTAGACCTGAGGGTTTTTTGTGTTAGTTAGGGTACAAAGACCCATTCTCCAAAGGGCAAAGATTTGCCTCAGGCATTTATCAAAACTTGTGTGAAGAGGGAAGATGGAATTTTGGTTCCATTTGATTCTTAGGGCACAGGTGAATCCTGAGGACGTCTGAAAACTTCACAGAGGTGTTTTCCCCTTAGAATCTTGAAGGGTAAATAGAGTTCGTTGCAGAAGAGGGCCTCTCTTCTGCTTGTCGGAAGGGGAAATGTTTTTTAGCAGCTTTATTGGAAGAGGTACTGGAGGCAAGGCTCCGAATGGCAAAGAGCTTCCGGTATTGCTCCAGCCACAGCTTTGCTCCTCCTCCTTTCAGAATCCCCCAGAGACTCTGGGTCTCGCTCCAGCCGCCTGAAGCGGCGGCCTGGTGACGAGACAGTGGCTCCCTAGGCGCTGGAGCGCTTTGGAGATGGCGGGGCGGGCCATGTGCTGTCCATTAAGCCGAGGCTTGGCCCTCTGAGGGTTTAGAGAAGGTCATCGTCGTGTTTAAGGTGTAGAGGTGGGGTCTGGCCCACCCGCAGCAGCTCAGTCCCTTTTCCCACCACTCTTCCCCGGGAACTCAGCCATTTGGGATTCCTGCCAGCTTCCCCTCTGCCCAGGCCCTCCCCTTCCCAGTCACTAGGGAGGACCCACCCGCCTCAGGTTCTCCAGCCCAAGTTTCCCGCGCTCTTGAGGGCGCTCTTACTTAGCTGGTCCTTCCCAGGCCGCATTCCACTAGCCGGTTCTGTGGTTTCCTTTCATTTTATTATCACTTTCGAAACCTGGCGATTAAGACGCGAAACCAACAAAGAGTTTTCTTTCCACCTTAACCTTGCACACAATCCTTTAACAAATTAATTAATCCTAATGAATTAACACTTCATTTATTTAAACGCGCTACAGTCCATGAATTAAATTTTCATGCAGTGATTAAAGGCTGTTAAAATATGCATGATTTCGTTAAAATTTTATAATAAATCAGGGCAATGTGTTACATGACAAGGCAACTATTTCCCAGTCCCTCGCAAGGGGCTTTGATTTGTGCGGGCGGCGGGAAGGAGGGGCGGCTGGCGGCAGTGCGGCGAGCGGCGAGCGGTAGAGCCGGGCGGCAGGACCCAGCTCTGCACTCCCGGGCTTGGACTGGCGGCCTCGCGCTTCTCTCCGTGGCTTCTAGAACCTCGAGGGATCCAGCTCCTGGAGGCCGAGGGGAGCCTGCGGAGGTCGGCGAGAGCGCCCTTCTCCATCCTCAGAAGGTCTCTTGGGTGGAACTGCTGGTCCTCGCCGGTAGCGCGCCCCGAAAGCAGGGGGAGTGTGTGTCCGGGACCTAGCGACTGATCAGCGGGTATCTGACACAGGAAGGCGACAGCACTTGCATCGTGTCGCGTGGGGTCAGGGACCAGCGTACCTGTGGACGAGTTTGTTTGTGGTTATTTTAAACCAGGGACCTGGACGCTCCTTTTCTGATCAGCGCGGTTCTCTCTAGTCTTGAGCCCGCAGGGCGCAGACGGAACTCGGAGCCTCTGTTCTTCAGGGCCCTAAAGCACCGGGGCCGGCGACCTTGTTAACAGGATAACAGTGATTATTTGGTTTGCAAAAGTAATAGTGTTGACTGACAGGCAGGGAGACCAAGCACCCGTGAGGGTTGTTCTCTTGGGTCGGTCTCTCCGGGAGGGTTTCCTAAGGTAGGTTGGTAGGGTGAGAGATTAGGGC